GGCGGCATAATACCGGGAGAGGAGGGAGAATGGAGGGACGAGGGGAGACTGGGGCGGATACCAGGACATGCCACAGGTGTGTACAGCCGGGCCATCTGCGCAGGGACTGCAAAAACTGTGATGGGTGCGGGAAGCCGGGGCATAGGAAGCGGGAATGCCCGGATGCAGCCCGGTGTAAAATCTGCAAAAGGCAGGGACATGAGGCGAAGATTGCTACCAGAGGGAAGGGGGAGCAGGAGGCATCCAGAGAACTGCAGCGGCAGATCAACAGGTTGCAGGCACAGCTGAGGGCAACAGGGCTGAAGGGGGAGGCGGAGGCAGGAATGTACGCGGGAGAAGGGGGGGGAGAGGAGGTGGAGCAGGACGTGCAGTGTGCTCCATGGCATGGAGGGGGGCAGAGGAGATGGGGCTGAGAAGTGGGGGAAGAGATGGCAGGCAAGAGCAAGGAAGGAAGGAGCAGGTGAAGGAGAAGCGCCATCCGAGCCAGCCCAAGAGCCAGCCCCCGCACGCCACCCCAAAGAGAGGCTGGCATGCCAGACCTCGGTGCTGCTGCTTGAAAAAGAGCCATGGAAGTGGAGGGAGTGAAGGTAACGACAACCATCATAGATACGGGGGCACAGAGCGTGATGTTGGGCAGAGGGATGGCTGAGAGGCTGGGACTGCTGGCTCCGGAGAGACACATGGCCAAGGGGATGCTGGTGATGACAGCGGAAGGGGGGGAGCCGAAATGGATGCCATGCACACGGACGCCCATAGAAGTGACGCTGCTGCCGGGGGGGACACATGAAACCAAAATCCGCATGAAGTGTGGGATTTCCGAGTCGGAGGACTTCGATGTGCTGGTGGGCACCGAGCTGGTGTATGCGGTAAGAATGACCATCTGTACTTGGAAGGAGAGGGTGGAGTTTAGGACCAGATACTGGAAAAGGGAGGGGCCGCTAGGAGAACTGCCAGTGCGATTCGTGAAAGTGGAGCCGAAGAGAGCATACCAGGGCGTGAGGGAGCGGCTGCTAGGAGAGCAGGGAGGGCTCCCAGGGGGGGAGGGGCGCCTAGAATGAAAGGGTTGGACAAGCTGCAGCAGCAGAGTGATTGGCAGCAGCCCCATCCCCTGGTGGAGTTATTTGGGGGATAGGGGCTGGGCTGTCAGCAGTGGTGAGGAATGGGATAGCAGTGAAGAGATGGACATATGTGGAGAAGGAACCCGGGGTGAGGAGGATGGCGGAGCACCATGCCAGGAAGCTGCAAGCGGAATTCCCGGACCTGCTGAGTGAGGAGGTGATCAGCAAGGCGACGGGGGGGGACGATTCACGATGTGAAAGACATAGGTGAGGCCGAAGTAGCGAGCTGGGGGCAGGTGGATCTGCTGGTGGCAGGGTGGGAATGCCGAGGGGTGTCTTGGGCAGGCAGGGGCAAGGGAGGAGAAGATCATAGGGTGGGGCTGCTGGAGGATCTGTTCCGAATCATGGAGTTGGCTGCAGGAGAGGCACGGCAGGGTGGCATACTTGCTAGAGAACCTGGACCTGGAGGGGGATAGCAGAGAGCCAATCCGACTGGTGAGGGACAGGATCAGGGGACAACTGGGAGAAGGGGTGAGCTGTGATGCGGCCACAATGGGTCCTACGCGCACCGGCTCAGAATGTACTGGCAGAATGTGGTCCCTGCCGAGCAACTGCAGGCAGAGATGGAGGGGGTAAGGCGAGCAGCAGAAAGGAAGGTGAAGGATATCCTGGAACCAGGGCGGACCCCAGCACCAGTGTATCGCAAGAGCTACAGCAGGCATGAGCAGTGTAACCAAGTGGGAGCAGGAGGAGGAGGGCTCTGCCACGCTGGTGGCGTATGTTGGGGCAGCAGGGTACAAGTGGGAAGCAGGGAAGCCGGGCCAGGAATGGTGTATGACCACAAGAAGGGAGATGGGAGGAGCCCACGGCACTAGAGCGGGAGCTGGCTATGGGATACGGGAAGACGCAACAGCAGCGCCTGGGGCAAGTGAAGCGGACAGGAGGAGGGCTCTGGGGAATACAATGGATGGCCACGTGATGAGGTGGCTGATTCAGCGATGTGGCGGGAGACGGTCGTGAGCTGGGGGCAGGCGGAAGAGAGAGGAAGGATGGAGGCGGAGCCACGGGGTGCATGGAGCTGCCAAGAGAAGGAGGAGGAGAGCTGGGTGGTGGGGGAAGGGATGAGCAAGGAGGGAAAGGAGGCCATGGAGGAGCTGCTCGCCAGGCACAGGAAGTGTTTTGCCTTCACCATGCAGGAACTGGGAAGGTGCAAGGTGAAGGAGATGGAGCTGAAGCTGAGCAGCACAGAACCTGTGTTCCAGTGCAGGAGGAAGATGCCGCCTGGGGATGAGGAGACCTGCAAGGAGAAGATCAAGGAGCTGCTGGAAGCAGGACTGATTAGGAGATGAGAGTCCGAGTATGCCACACCCACAGTGGTGGCAGCCAGGAGAGACCTGACAGGGGAGGTGCTGAGCAGGAGAATGTGTGGAGACTACAGGGCACTCAACAAAATCACCGTAGCAGACAGGTACCCGATGCCGATGGCGGAGGAGATCTTTGACAAATTGCAGAAGGGGTTGTTCTTCACTACTCTGGACCTGCGGCAGGGGTTTCAACCAGATCAAAATCAGAAAGGAGGACGTTAGGAAGACGGCCTTTCATGGGCCGGGACGGGCTGTATGAGTGGTTGTACATGTCGTTTAGACTGAGGAACGCATCAGCAGTATTCCAGAGGGTCATGGACAGCGTGCTGCGTGGAGTGGAGTGCGCAGCCTGCTATATTGATGATGTGGTGATCTTCAGCACCACAGAGCAGCAGCACCTGCAGGATGTGGAGCGGACCCTAGCGGCGATTGAAGCGGCGGGACTCACCTGCCATCCGAAGAAGTGCAGATGGGGGGAACAGACGGTGCAGTACCTAGGGTATGAGGTGAAAGGGGATAGATAGGGATCCAACAGGCAAGGTGGAAGTCCAAGACAGACTGAGGGAGCCGAGGGACAAGTCAGGGCTGAGAGCAGTGCTGGGCTTCTTGAGCTACTACAGGCGGTTTGTGCCCAACTTCAGCAAGCGAGCAGCGGTGTTGAATGTGCTATTGCGGGAGGACCAGGCGTGGGAGTGGGGGGAAGCACAAAAAGGGGCGCTGCAGGACCTGATGGCAGCAGTGAAGACCGCGACGGTGCTCAAGCTGGCCCGCCGCTGATCAGCCGTTCACGCTTTACACCGATTGGAGCAGCCAAGGGTTGGGGGGGATTCTCTGCCAGGAGGTAGAAAGAGAGGAGAAGGTAGTGGCATATGCGAGCCGGAGCTGCAACTCGGCAGAGGCGCAGTACAGCTCCTACATCGGAGAAGGGTTGGCAGCCGTATGGGCAGTAGGGCATTTCAGGGTGTATCTGCAGGGGAGGGAATTCACCTTAGTAACAGACCACCAGCCCCTGACGTGGCTGATGTCAACCCCGGGACTAACGGGCAGGAATGCAAGATGGGCGATGAAGCTGCAGGAGTATGACTTCAAGATCAGGCATAGGCCAGGAAAGACACTGCAACACGTAGATGGCCTCTCACGGAACCCCCCACCGCTTGAGCCCACTGTAACCTTGACACTGCTGGCCAGATTAGTGGAGCAGAACGGGGCCAAGGAGGGGAAGAGGCCAGCAGACATATGGGAGGACGGGCCGGCCCTGCGATGGGTAAAGGGAGAGACGGGCGAGGATGAAGCGCTACCGGCACGGGTAAGGGCAAGGGGCCAGCACTACTGGTGGTACCAGCAGTAGTTGCAGGTGCAGACAGAGGACGGATGGAAGCTGGTGCCGGCTCCAAGTGAGAGAGAAGCAGTGATTAAGGAAGTCCACACCAAGCTAGGGCACTTTGGGCACGAGAGGACAGTGCAGCTGTTGAAGACAGGGTGGTGGTGGGAGGGGATGCGAAGGCAAGTAAAGGGGTGAGTGGAGGCTGTGAGGCATGCCAAAGGAGCAGGGCAAACCTCACCCAAGCCAAGGCGGAGTTGCAGTCGCTGCCCATCCGAGGCCTCGGCTTCCGATGGTCCTTAGACCCTGGCGGGGGAGCTGCCACTGAGCCGTGGGGGGAAGCAGTACATAGTGCTCATGGTCGAACATGTGAGCAAGTGGCTGGAGGTAAGAGCGATCCCTAGCAAGAGCTCCAGACACGTGGCAGCAGCGTTCAAGGAACAAGTGTTGTGCAGGTTCGGGGCATGTGCAGAGGTCCTAACAGATCAAGGGACAGAGTTCCAGGGGGAGTTTAAAGGGGCTGCTAGAGGAGACTGGGATCACCCACAGGCGCACTTCGCGGTACCACCCACAGAGCGATGGGCTGACTGAGCGACTGGTCTAGACCTTGAAGCGGGGACTGCGAGCGTACGGGGAAAAGAGGAAGCAGGACTGGGACGAGGAGCTGCATTGGATAGCAGCAGGGTACAGGTTTGGGAAGCAGGCGGTGCTGAGAGATCACTCCCCTTATAGTCTCCTATATGGGTGTCAGCCGCTGCTGCCGGTGGGAGCAACCCGGGTCCTCACAGACACTGTGACTGCAGGGACGATAGAGAATTGGGTGGCGCTGTCCGAGACCAGGGCAAGATACCTACGAGTGATGATGCCAGCGGCATTGGAGAATCTCCACACCGCACAGCTGCGGGATGCTCGGAGATATGAGCAGAGGCAACAGCAAGGGGCGGGGGGCAGACCCAGGAAGGAGTGAGTCAGGGGCAGGAAGTGTACTTGAAGCGGGCAAAGCAAGACACGCTGGATGTTGGGGTGGGCACGGAGAGGTGGAGGGTGAAGGAGGTCCGTCCCTCAGGGGTGTTGGTTCTGGAAAATGACACAGGGGCACTCCTGAAGGAGCACCAGAGCAACACGGCCATGGTGAGGGGGAGCGAGCCTCACCAAGCGGGTCCTGTGACTCGGGCTCAGGCAGCTAGAGCACGAGCACAGGAGGGGGCAGTGGGTAAGTGAGGCTGTGCAACAGGGAGAAGGGAGGAACAGGAGAGTCTACAGGAAGAAGAGCAGGTGCAGGGTGAAGAGCAGGTGCAAGGTGAAGAGGAGGTGCATGAAGAAGAGCGGCGGCTGAGAGGAAGAAGGTTCTCCGACAGCTGACACCGCATATGCACTTAATGCATATGCAATAACAGGAGAATGATGGTAAAGTGTGGGCGTCATACTAAGTCCATAGGAAGATGAGATAGGAATGAGAATATAAGTAATAGGTGTAGGATGTAGCGAAGTTACTGTTAGGAGCGAGGGTGTAGAAGGGGGGAAACAGGATAAGAGCGGTTGAGATAAAAAGGGGGAAAGACTCCGAAGGGCGAAATGTGAAACCAATGAACCCCAACCCCGAGCCGCACATTTGGAAATGTGCAGCCAGGGGTGGGGTAAGGTCACTCACCTCCAACCCATCGATGCTTTCTCGTTGTTATTCTCTTACACTAGTGAATTGGATTGTCTCAAGCTCTAAGCACACAACAGCACACTAAGAGGGAACCTGCGGGGTGAGAGACCAGCTTCTTTCATAGTGGGTAAGTGAGGCTGTGCAACAGGGAGAAGGAGGAACAGGAGAGTCTGCAGGAAGAAGAGCAGGTGCAGGGTGAAGAGCAGGTGCAGGGTGAAGAAGAGGTGCATGAAGAAGAGCGGCGGCTGAGAGGAAGGTTCTCCGACAGGGTGGGAATGAAAGGTAGGGAGCAGCATTGAGGGAAGGGCCGGGGGCGAAAGGGATGCGGGAAGGGATGACGAGCGAGAGAAAGAGCATGTGGATAGCAATCTGATGGTTGAGGCGGGCAGGAATGGCAGTGGCCAGCACAAAGGTAGAGGTGTAAGGCATGGGGGATGAATGATGGCAAGAAAGGGCATGCTCTCATCCTTATCCTCTAAGACAGGCATCGATCCACATGCTGCCGTGAATAACGGACCGTGCAATCCAAGAATGCCACGGCTGCACACCTCTGCTCTGCCATCGCCACCATCGGCGCCAAGCCCTACTTCTGCAACCACTTTCCAAATTGCGCTCTTGATACGCCCATCCACCACAGAAGAAACACGAGGGCGGAGCTTGCAAGGTATACGAGGCCCACCTGCGAGGGGTAGGAGAAAGAGGAAGGGCACGGTGTGGGAGGAAGGAAGGAAGGGGCCGGTGTGGGAGGAAGGAAGGAAGGGGCCGGTGTGGGAGGAAGGGAGGAAGGGGCCGGTGTGGGAGGAAGAAAGGAAGGAAGGGGCCGGTGTGGGAGGAAGGAAGGAAGGGGCCGGTGTGGGAGGAGGGCGTGGCATAAGCACGAAACGATGCAGCCTCAACTCCCCATGGTGATGCTACCCGCCACTCTCGTCCAAGCGAGGCATGGGAAAAAAAACAACGCACACGCATGCAGGGTGTCACAGGCATATGTGTCACAGTCATGTGTAACAGGCACAGAATATTATCACAAGAACATCTTGCACCGCTAGACGATGAGGGCTTGCTCAGAAACATGAGCAGCATGAGCAGAAAAGAAGGTTCCCACACCTGCCCACGTGATCAGCAAGCACTCGCTGGCAACAGAACTACTGACAACAGCAAGTGCGTACCTGCCGCATGTGCTTGCAGCTGTCGTGCCACGTTCCAGCTTCGCGCGGCACAAGGACCAGAAACGCCAGGCCGAGGGTTCCCGCCACCGCTACCAGTAGTGTGGTTACTGCCGCGGCCACTGCAGCCAACCGCGCCATGGCGTGTCCGTGTCCGTGTCTCTCCCTCCCACCAGGTACTACAAGCTTCGGTTCGACCCATAAGCAGGCGGTGCAATGAAACTGTTGGAGGAGGCTAACTTTCTTGCAGCCGAATATGAGCATTCATGGAATGATGATTATAAGGGAGGCTGTAGCATGCAACAGTGGCAGCACAAATTGTGTGATATTATGGAACATGCCCTCATATATACCGTGGGCCTTTTCTGTTTTGTAACGCTGAAAGTTCAATAATTTTTGTGCCGGTATTAAGGGTGTTGGAAATCCGAGTACAGTATAACGAATATTGTATACCAGTGTGCTATTCAGTTTTAGTTTAGTCCCCTTTATAAGCCTCCATGTCCTACAATAATTGTCACAATTATTGTAGAGCCACAATTATAGGAGCCTAGCGTTATTGGAGGGTAGAGGGTAGAATTATTGGTACATCATTATTGGTGTGAATAGAGTCATCCTGGGAGGGGTAGATGGATGCATAAATACCCTGCTGTGTCACTTGTTAATCATCATTCTATCATTCAATGATCAATGCAAGATTCCTATCTTGTGCTTTTCTACAAACAGGTTTCCGCTACGCTGGCACTATGGCTTTCTAGCATGGTATCAGAGCTACTTTAGGGGGCATGGTGCCAAAACTGGTTCAGGAATTTACTGGTGCATTCACTTCGGATAGGTACTTGCATACAGTCAGAGTACCGCACACTCGATCTACGCTTTCGTTCACCTACTGTTCGTTGCTAGTTACAACCGCGCGTTTAGCGCACACTTGGTGAAAAGTTTGGTCAAGATCGGCGCACTTCAACGACGAAGTGGATGATGGATATGCGGCTTTTGAAGAAGCCATCCTGGCTCAGCATGAGCACCTAAAAAACATCCATGCAAGGGCACCACCAACACTCCAAGCTTCGTTGAGGGACAAGTTTGGAATGACAATCGAGCCAAGGGCAACATTCTCTCATGAGTTCAGCAATCCGTCCACTCGTGGACACTCTCATTCAAGCACTCCACGTACTAACCAAACTCGTTCAAATGTTCATGCAGGAATGGTGAAGGGGAAATGAGCATACCCCAAGGAGGAAAGTCATCCCAAGGGAGGGATGCATCCATCCAAGGAGAGGGGAGCTCCAATTCTGCACCTCATTCATCCATGCAAAGGGAATCACGGGGGAGGAATGATGAGTATGGGAGTGAAGTGTATGCGATGGAGCATGGTGGAATGAAAAGTGGACAGATTGGGCGACAGAGTGACGGAAATGGTCAAATGGGCGTGGAAGGTGTGGGATTTGCTTCTTAGCTATTGGTGCCCCCCCACTACGACGACTTGCGACTAACTCCCATCCCATTGGAGTTCTTTCCATGCCCAGATCTCACCTTCATGGAGGTAACGTCGTACCTCCGCGTGCACCACGTCCACCGATTGGCGCACACTATGTGGACAGCATGGGGCGGATGGGATACGGAATGCAGTCAAGTGGTGTCAAGCGACGTGAGGAAGTGGAAGTGCTGGAGCGTCAACTTGGTGGACAGAATGGAGACATGCAGCGCACGGTACAGCTACCTCGACCGTCAATCGTGCCTACTCTCTTCGACCCCGCTCCACGTGAATACACGGAAGAAGACAAGAAACGGCTGTCACGCAAATAGTGGGAGCGACGGTGGACAAGGCGTTCACCACCACTCCGTTTGACAGCTCTAACTGATGACATGGGAAATGATGACATTGACGATGCTATGGAGAGGCTGGAAATGCTACAGTCGAATTACTCACAGCGTGCGGCACTCGCCTTTGGGTCTTAATGCACAACGTGAGCGCCACAATTCAGCTTCAACTGGACATGTTCCAGAAATCCTACAGCCCGGCATATGAAGCATGGGAATACTTAATGGATACGTACAAGGCAAAGGATTCGGTGTCGAAACTGTCACTTCAAAAGCAGTCAGACAATCTAAAGATGGGGAACCAAGAGAGGGTGGAGGAGTACGTCAACCGCGCAACAACGATTCGGGAAAAGATGGCACTAGCGGGGAAGATAGTGGATGAGGAGACATTCACCTTAAACCAGCTCACCAGGCACATTGAGAGGAAATGAGGCACTCAGCAATGCTACACAACGTGACGGACAACTTCACCTTGCAGCAGATGATGATTCAGGAGCAGCGATTTCACGACCTCATCACAAAGGCAATTCGAGAACGGCGTCCTCCCCGCATGGCTGGATAAGCATGTGGAAACCGCTCACCGTCTCTAACTGCTAAGGACATCGTCGCAGACGAGGAAATGAATTTGGAAAGGTCACCAAAATGACGGCATGGGTCTGTTGGGGAGAAAACACAAGACAACGATGGAGGTGCAGGTCGCTCACCTCTCGTGTGTTGGTACGGCAAGGAGCCAAGCCATCCCTTCTTCAAGTGTACCAAGGCACCCCCAGGCCGGACACCACCAGGCTCGGAACCAAATACTCGCAGAAAGGCAAAACTGTGAAGAATGAGGAATGAATGAACTAGCAAGCAGGTGGGTACAAGTAGGAAAACCTAAAAGTGTTGTACCCCATATTGTCTACCCCACTATAGCCTACACAGACTATAGCATATGAGTTTGACACACCCCCATAGGCAAAGTGGGGGAGAACAAGAGGTCACAAGACCAGTCAAGCAAAGACAAGCAAGCTCAGGGTGGATCACAACGTCACCACACAATCCGAGCACAAGAGCAAGGCCACAAGGTCAGTTCACATGCAAGATCATATATAAAGGTAAACAGGCAAGTGCAGGTATAGAAAGATGACAGTACAAGCAAGGTCAAGAAGTGAGCAAGTGAGGCCAAGTAGGCACAAGACCTAGCGTAGTACAGAAGCGCTGATGATCACCAGGCGGAAGTGCCGTGGTGAAGATATCAGCAGTGTTGGTCTCAGAGGCCACATAAGCAAGGCACAGCTGACCACGCTGTTGCAGCTCACGAGCAAGGAAGTAGCGGAGAGCAATGTGCTTCGTTCTGTGCTCCAGTCTGTGCTCCCGACACAAGGCCAGCATGGCCTTGTTGTCTACGTACAGAATTGGAGGAGAACGAGGCGGCTCTCCTAGGTCAGTCAGCAGGTAGGTGAGCCAGCGTATGGCCCCAGCGTAGATCTCAGCCTCACAGCTGGAGCCGAGAACAGAAGATGAGCGGGTAGACCGCCACGAAACAGAGCCGGAGCCAAGGCTGAAGGTGTAACCCTGTGACGACCGCTGCGTAGCCTGGTCGTCAGCCCAAGAAGCGTCTGCGTGACCTGTGAGGACCACTCGACGTCGCCTCCAAGCACTAGCCCCATGCCCGACGTACTGCACAAGTAGCGCAACACCCTCTTCGCTGCAGCCATGTGCTCTGGTCGGTGTCTCCTAGGAGCAACATAGCGTGCCAAGATGCTAAGAGGGTATGCAAAGTCAGGTCATGTGCAGGTCATCAGGTACATGAGGCAGCCAACAAGCTCTGGGTACGGGCCACTCGGCTCTACGGACTCATCCGAAGGCAGAGCTGAGAGCGAGTGGCGAGTAGACAGAGGAGTGGCCTGAGGCGAGGAGTACGTGAAGTCGAAGCGCTGAAGGACCTGCTGCACCATGTGTGACTGAGTAAGGGAAATGGTGCGCTGTGCTCTGTCCCGGGTGACCTGCAAGCCAAGGTAGCTGCGCAATTCACCCAGGTCTGTGCACGTGTGTCTCTTCTGCAGCTCGGACTTCACGTGGGCGAGTCCAGCAGTGTCAGCTGTGGCAAAGACCAAGTCGTCGACGTACACGAGGATGTAGAACGGCGGCAAAGAGGTGTCGGTGCGCAGAAACAGCGACGGGTCGGCAGTAGAAGGAGCAAACCCAAGAGCCGCAAGTGTAGTCCTCAGTGTGTCGTGCCACTGACGGGGCGCCTGGCGGAGACCGTAGACTGGCCACCAGAGGCTCCACTGGGTACCAAGAGGAAACGACCCAGTGAAGCCAGGTGGGCGGCGCAACCAGATCTCCTCGTGCAGGCTGCCCTGCAAGAAAGCTGTGCTCAAGTCAAGAGAGTGAAGCTCGTAGTCGCGCTGAGCGGCTATGTGCAGCAACACCTGAAGAGTGGTCATCTTCGGGGTGGGAGAGAAGGTCTGAAAGTAGTCAACTCCCTGCCGCTGACTGAAGCCTCGAGCCAGGTAACGCGCCTTGAAGACAGGCGGAGAACCCGGCGGCCGCTTCACCCTGAAAATCACATGCCACTGACGATGTTCGCCCCAGGTGGGGGAACCTCGTCGACGTAGGTGCCTGTGGAGTTCCAGAAGCCATCTATGCGTCCATGGCTGACTGCCACTGTGAGGAGTAGGGACCCTCGATCGCCTCAGCGTACGATCGAGGAGTCGGGATGTCTGGTGCATCCGGGTCTCCCTCATGGGCAATCAGCGTGGACACGAGATGAGGCAAAGCAGCAGCAAAACACTGGAACTCCTCCTTCCTGTCCTCAAGGACGTCCGTGCTAAGAGCACACTCACCCCCGACGGACGGAGGATAGACAGACTCAGACTCAGCAACAAGACTAGCAGCGTAGTCTAGACGACAGCGAGCAGCAAAGTCGACAAGCTCAGCAACTAGGGCCGACGCAGCAGTGGACTCAAAGGAAGAGAGTAGGACAACAGTGGCCAGGAGACGCGTGACAGTAGGACTGGCAGCACGAAGAGAGTCAGACTCCGGGTCAGCAAAAACAGGAAGAGAGGACTCTGGAGGAGACGGCAACGGGACTCGCAGAGGAGCAGTGGAAGGACACAGTGCCATCTGGTGTGTGCCTGAGACCGCAGGAGGACGCGGACGCGGAGCACGACTACTAGTGCGAGCAGCACAAACAGGCGACGCAGGACGAGACGCAGGCTCACGACGCTCCGCAAGACCTCTAGTAGGACCAGTGTAGGGAGAAGGAGCAGGTAGGGGGGAGGCAGGCTGTAACTGTGACCGCGACTGGACAGGCTGTGGACACTCTAAGGGAGGAGTAG